TTGCCTCATTGTGTAAAAAGTTCTGTTTTTAGAAGTATCACACATCTAGAAGCTTTTATTTATTAGTTGCTTAATAGCAAGAAAGGCAAAAAAGAAAAACGGGAGCAAATAACTGGACAGATTGGAAAATTTATTGTGCTTCGTTGAAGAAGAAGAAGGTTTTGTTAGTGGCCTCGTTTGAATCAGTTCACTTGCTATAGCTTCAGCTTTCAGGATGCGTGTAAGAGTTTAAAACTCACCTGGTTACATTAGCATTGCAGCTAAGTGGCTTTCCAGCTAGCAACATGTTGCTGCTGTTAAAACAGCACATGTATATATAAATGCTTTCTATTGTGACCAATTATTAGCATGACCTGTATTTCAAGGTTTTGTTGTTATCGAATATATCGTAATTCTTCTTGTTCCTCCACAACAGCAGATGGCAGCATCTCTGTGCTCTAGGGAAAGTAAACCGCCGCCTCTTGTGAGAGGAGACAGACTTCACTTCCTGTTATGTCCGTTCGGCGCGCGCACAAACACACCCCACCTCTAAAGCACTCTTCCTGCTTCCCAGCGGTCTGCGCCAACCTGCCGGGGTATCTGCACAATGGAGAAAACGAGCGAGTTGAAAATGTGCCTGGAGTCCTCACTGAACCGGATTTTTCAAGCGACGGTGAACGACATCCTGTGCTCGGTGGAGCGGACCCTCTCTGAGTACCAGGGAGCCTACCAGGCGATCCAGACCGAGAATGAAGGCCTGAAGCGGCTGCTGCTTGCACAGAGGGACGCAGAGTCTGACCACACAGGTCCGCAGTTTATTCCCTGTGCACTGCGAGTACGTGTGTGTGTGCGCTTAACTTTCTTTGCACTTTGATTCAGAAGTCTCATCTTCTTTAAGTTCATTCTGCAGCATTGCATCAAACCCTTAACGATGAAGTGTATAAGTCACAGTTTGTGGAAGTACATAAAAATAAGAGCTAATTCTTCCAAATGCAATAAGCAATAAATTTCTCTATGAAAACAGCTTGACGTTTTGTAGACATAATTGTGTGGCAATATCCTCCCATGCTGTCTTAAAGTTGTTCTAATAAACATAAACTGTGTGGGAGTTGTATATTATTACCTCACATGGAACAGTTTTAACCAGAAGAAATACTGTTTCCCCAGCTAGTTTGTTTTCATCATTTCTCCTCTCACTAGCATGGTTATTAAACAGACATTTTATTTAAAAAGCAGTGACACTAATTTTTCTAAATATACATCAGCTCCATGCCTGGCAGAGCATAAAAAATTATGTTTTTTGGTCATTAAAATATTTTCTGGCCAAATAGGTTAGATTTATTTATTATTTATGTTTGGGCAAATAATTAATTAATTGTTCTGACTGTAGCTTTGAGCACAGCTCTGTGGCAGTTGGCTATGTTTTCTTATCTTTCTCCTTTTGAGTAGCCACTAAAACAAATGGGCCTCCGTGTGGCGTCCTTTTTAAGTTTGAAATAGAAAAAATAAATAAATTGTGTTACAATATTACACATATTAATTCACATCTCACCTTCTCATTGGATATTTTTTTAGATTCTACATATAATGCTGATTTCCCTAAATCAGATAACCCTTGAGCACTGAGATTATGTCAAACCTTTTAGTTTAGTCATGTCATGGACATTTAATAAGTAGTGACAGCTCATTGTTGTGTTTAGAGCCGCCCTCTAGTGGAAAACAATAAACTTACGACTCTACTGTGGCTTTTTGTGTCACATTTCCGGGATTTTTACTCATTTCAGCAACATCAGATATAATTCATTCTACACATGTACCAACCTGGTCATTGTTTTCATTTAACTTTTTCAGATGGATGTGAGGAAGATTCTGCCTCCGACTGGAGCAATCGTCCTTCTATCTCCGCCCACAACATGTTTAAGGTGTCCATATGCAGCAGTGACAAAAAAGGCTTAAGGAAGAGACGTAAGAGCAACCTGAAGGAGAGAGTATTCTCTGCTCCGGTTTTTCTGCAGACAGATCAAATGGAAGAACAGTCATCTGTTGACAAGTCCGTAGGGATCTCAGTTCCTGTGAAGACAGAGCCTGGTTTGGAAGAAAGTGGTGCCGTCGACCTCTCCCAGCCTTCTCTGAATCAGACAGCAACGCTGGTAAAGAATGAAGCCTCAGAGGTTTCTGGTGATTCCTTCACAAATGAGGAACAGCTGCATCCTTCAAGCCCTGACCATAGAGGCAGTGAGGGCAGCGTTAAAGTCTCCCTTGTTTCCAATCGCTACACACAGGAGGGACATTTCATCAAGGTTGAGAAAGAGGAGGATGCTGACGGTGAAAGTTTGACTCACCCAGAGTTGAAGTATGAACTGAATTATTTGGAGCCAGAGCCGGCCCAGAGATGGATGGAGGGAACGCACATGCAGGATACGGAGCAAGAAGAAGTGGGTTTGGAGCAAAGCGACTCTCCTGTTGTTGCTGAAGACGAGACTCAAGAACAAAGTGTCAAGCTTTTACGCTGCCCAACCTGTCCGAAGACATTCAGCGAAGCTGATATGCTCAACGTTAACATCAAAACTCACAGCAAAAATAAAGATCACAGCTGCGACCTTTGTGGGAAACAATATAAGCGTGCCGACCTCCTCACATCCCACCGTCGCATTCACACAGGAGAACGACCGTTCGGCTGCAACCTCTGCAGCAAGACCTACTCCCACCCCAGCCAGCTCAGGGTGCACAAACGGCGGATCCACATCGGCGAGAAGCCCTACGCCTGCTCTTACTGCGAGAAGCGCTTCAACGAGAACAACAAGCTTAAAGTCCACCTAAGGACTCACACCGGGGAGAAGCCATACGGTTGCCAGCAGTGTGGCAAAACATTCCGAAATGTCGGAAACCTGCGGATGCACGAGAGGTTCCACACGGGCGAGCGCCCCTATGGCTGTTCTCAGTGCTGCAAGAGGTTCACCACCCTCGGCGATCTCAAAACTCATTACAGGACCCACACAGGGGAGAGGCCGTACAGCTGTGAGCTGTGCAGAAAGACCTTCAGTCAGAACGGATACCTCAAGATCCACATGCGGATGCACACAGGAGAACGGCCGTACGGCTGCGACGAGTGCGGCAAGAAATTCACGGTGGCCAGCAGCCTGAAGTGGCACCGGAAGACTCACACGGGAGAGAAGGAATACAGCTGCGCATCCTGCGGGAAACGTTTCAGGAGGTCCTGTCACCTGAGGAGACACGAGCTGGTGCACACCAAGGAGAAGCTTTTCTGCTGCGGTCAGTGCGGGAAGACCTACGCCGATAATTCCAGCTTGAGGAAGCACCTCAAGATTCACGCGTCGCAGGAGAGCACCCTGCAGAGCGCAGGAAGTACAAGTGAGGCCGCAGTCTCTGCTTCTGCGACTTCAAGACATGACAGAAACTTAAACTAGTCGGCCTAAAAGTACAGCGGCATGTCAGAGCCACAGTAGAGAGAGAAAAAAATGAATAAATAAATTTCCCTCCCAAAACATGTCCAAAAAATTTGCCGAAACAAAAAAAATCTTGTGAAAAATTTTGAAAATTTGTGAGTTTCAAAAGTAAAAGACCTCATATCCCACCGTCGCATTCACACAGGAGAACGACCGTTCTGCAGCAAGACCTACTCCCACCCCAGCCAGCTAAGGGTGCACAAACTGATCCACACCGGCGAGAAGCCCTACGCCTGCTCTTACTGCGAGAAGCGCTTCAATGAGAACAACCAACTTAAAGTCCACCTGAGGACTCACACCGGGAGAAGCCATACGGTTGCCGGCAGTGTGGCAAAACATTCCGAAATGTCAGAAACCTGCGGATGCACGAGAGGATCCACACGGGCGAGCGCCCCTATGGCTGTTCTCAGTGCTGCAAGAGGTTCAACAGTCTCGGCGACCTCAAAACTCATTACAGGACCCACACAGGGGAGAGGCCGTACAGCTGTGAGCTGTGCAGAAAGACCTTCAGTCAGACCGGACACCTCAAGATCCACATGCGGATGCACACAGGAGAACGGCCGTACGGCTGCGACGAGTGCGGCAGGAAGTTCACGGTGGCCAGCAGCCTGAAGCTGCACCAGAAGACTCACACGGGAGAGAAGGAATACAGCTGCGCGTCCTGCGGGAAACGTTTCAGGAGGTCCTGTCACCTGAGGAGACACGAGCTGGTGCACACCAAAGAGAAGCTTTTCTGCTGCGGTCAGTGCGGGAAGACCTACGCCGATAATTCCAGCTTGAGGAAGCACCTCAAGATTCACGCGTCGCAGGAGAGCACCCTGCAGAGCGCAGGAAGTACAAGTGAGGCCGCAGTCTCTGCTTCTGCGACTACAAGACATGACAGAAACTTAAACTAGTCGGCCTAAAAGTACAGCGGCATGTCAGAGCCACAGTAGAGAGAGAAAAAAATGAATAAATAAATTTCCCTCCCAAAACATGTCCAAAAAATTTGCCAAAACAAAAAAAGACTTGTACAAAATTTTGAAATTTTGTTTCAAAAGTAAAGAAAAAATAATAGCCTTTTGGAATTGCCTTGTTTTTTGTCTAGAAAATGTCTGAAATTAATCTAAAATTTCTGAGTTTTTTGGCACAAATTTCCTCCTTTTTTTTATCTTACAATGGCCCTAATACGCAGTTGTATAAAAGTCTGTGAATAACAGAGAAACAGTAAAGAATTCACTGCTGTAGAGTTAGCTACAAATCAGTTTGAGTGTTTAGCATATTTTACTACATCGTGTACAAAATCTGCTCCTTTTCTATGTAGCATCACCAAATGAAACATTTTAAAATAAATGATTTTGTTATTGAATCTTCTTTTATTTGTATTCTGCCAAGTTACATAAATGTCAAAAATGTTCAATGTTAATTCATTTTAAGATCGGATGCAGAAACAGTTTGTTAATGGGTTTTATTAATACATTCTGCCTCAACAGGCTCTTTGAGGCCATACAAGAGCTTATCCTATTAATTTTATTATTGGTCTGTTAGGTATACTTACATCTTCCACAGTGAAAACCTGCTCCATTTTACAACCAGACCTAGAAAATGGCTTTGTGCCGACCTCTGCAGCGCAGTTCACTCTCAGAAAAAAAGCAAGCATTGTTGGGTTTTTGAACTGTATTTATATAATACATCCAAAAAGCAGAACAATACAGTTTTTAAATGCATCTTTCGCCACAGCATGGGTCAATTGCTTTTTCTTAACATAAGAGGAACAACAAAAATAAAAATCATTCAGAGGTGCAAAAAAATTCAACATTTATTCGACCCATAATAAGTTATAAAATTGTGCTTTACGACATACTGAACAACGTATTATAAAAACAATGATACTTCTACTTTTCTAATATCTTGCGTGAGCAAGCTGCGCTGCAGTGCTAAGCAGGAGCTATAAGTGGGGTTTTGGATTGAGCTGTTATTTTTACTCATGTCCTTCTTTATGACAGAGCTGAAGCTGACAGAAATCAACATCTCCTTCCTTTTGTTCATGTAAAATTGATTATAGATTCCACAAAAAATATGCTGTTGTCCCAAAATTCTCCTTAGTTAACTTTGATGCTATTCATTACATTATGCAAATTTTTACATGTATTGACCTATAACATATTTTGTTGAAAAGCAGATATGGAATAATATCAGAGATTGTCAAGAGATTTTAGAAGTATTTGATCTAAATACCATTTGAAGAGTTTCTTAATGAAACAATGGAAACCAGTAAATAGTTCCATATTTTCAATCACAGGATGTTGATATTTGTTAAAGGTCTATGATAATCTTCTTCTATTCTTTCCATAAAGAAGACTTTCTTGATGTGTGCCTCGCCGCTCCCTCTTGGAAGTTCTTGTTTGGACTTTGGCTGATTTTTCATTTTTCTTTGAAAGACTTAAAACAGAAACTGCGAGACACATCATTCTTCAGTTGATTATTTACTATGTCTAACATATTTTAAGCTACGTCATTGTGTCCGTGGAAAATTGCCACTTTATTTGTTTTTATGCAAACTTAGCACAAGAAATTGCTAAAACATTCTGTTTTTGTGACGGGTTAAAATTTACAAAACTGCCTGAGCATCCAATAAAAAAAATTGCACCTTTCCATTCGTTTCTTAAGTTTAGAAACGTTTAAAAGCCTGAATGATTTGTAGAACAAGGCAGAGTGTCTTAGGAACATGTCATACTTCACTGAGTAACAATCAGTTAAAGTCCAAAGAAGACTCAGGGAAGCCAGAATAACTGCTTAAGACAAATTTGAAAGATTAAAAGGAGTTCCTGGTACACAAGAGAAAGAAATAACTGATGAATCAATATTTTTGCAAAGTACAGGGAACTGTTTTGATTTCTTGTCCATCCGCTGTGGTTTACTGTTGCACATTTATGTCATTGTAATCAAAATTGGTTCTGGTTTGTGGCTTTGCACAGGCAAATTGGAAATGCATGCCTCCCCTGTTCTTCGTTGTGTTCTGTAACCCGCCGCTTCTTCAGGATAATCCCCCGTTGATGTTCTGTGACGGCTGGGATAAGGTCCAAATCTCCCGAGAGACTGAACTGGAAAAAGAAGTCAGAAAATTAATGTATCCATATGTTCACTTAACTCTGGCAAAGCATGAGAAACACAAGAGTAGGCCTCACTTTGTTTGTGTCTCGTTGGTTGTGGTTGTGGTTCTGCAGCAGTTGAGTCTCCCTGGGAACTTTTTCTTGGATAGATAAAGGATAGGTTGAATGGTGCTGCTAAAGTCCATCAAGCCAAAAGCGACATAGTGTACATAGCAGCGAAATACATCTTGAGAGAAGTATGTTTTGAAGGGGAACATTGCAACAGAAGGGAAGTAGTTGAAGACAATGATGGCCAGGATTATCAGAACCAAGTTGGAGGCTCTCTTCTTCACCGGATGCATTGTGTCCCGGCCGGGCCTGGACTGCTTCAGGGCCCAGAGAATGGCTATGTTGCAAAACATCATGAAAGCAAACGTTGAGAGGATCATCACTGTGTAGACCAGGTCAAAATGTACAATGTTTCCAACACATTTAGCTGAAGCGTAGGCCAGAATGATGAGCCAAACCAGGACGGCCAGCACCAGCCTGTGTCGACGGTCCTTCAGCCTGGTGAAGAAGATGGGGTGGATCACGGCGATGTAACGGTCCAGGCAGATGCAGGTCAGAAAGAGCGGCGAGAAGTCTTTCATGCCATAGAAGAAGCGCAGGACGTACCAGGTGCTGCTGGTGGCGAGGAAGACGATGTTGGCCAGCTCCAGCGGAGGGGTGAGACAGAACAGCACGTCCAGAACTGCCAGGTGAATGATGAAGATATCCGAGGTGGAGGAGTCTCTCTTGTTCTTGTGGATGAGCCACAGCACTGTGATGTTGGCCGGGATGCCCAGGAACATGTTGGTGAACTGCAGGCTGAGGTACCAGATAAGAACTCCTGGCATGTCTTTGCAGCTCTCATAGATGGTTATATCACCACTGGCATTTGCAAATCTCTGAGAGATGTAGAGCCCAGAGACGTTGAAGTCAAAGCCCTCCATGTCGGCTGGTCGAATCAGACAAAAGGACAAAGCTCTGTTAGCAACAAATCAGCACACGTGTAAATCAAACAGTAATTAAACTCTATTTAAGGTGACTAGGAAGGATCTACGTGTAACATCACACGTAGATGTGTGTTCTTGATTTTATGTCATAAATATAACTTCTATGGATGAGGGAAACTGTTTAACTATTCCTGATACGCACTGTCATGGGAAAGCATTCAGACCCTTTTGTACAGTAACCCAGTGGTCCTCAGCCCCCGGGCCGCGAACCGGTACCGGTCCGTGGACCAATTGGTACCGGGCCAAGCAAGAAAAAATTTAATATTTTCGTTTTATGTATTATTTGAGTCTGGGGGATCTTTTATTTTGAAAATCCTTTAACCGGCTTCTCTCGGTTATGTCTTGAGCGCCAACACTGAGCCACAAGCAGCAAAATGAGTCAGAAACGGTTCAGATGTCTTTGGAAAGGAGAAAAGGCCCAGAGAAGAGACAGGAGAATGGATTTATCCCGGTAGGTGATTCCCAATTTCCAAGCCCGCTGTGCATAATATGGCGACCGGCTGGCTAATGAGGCAATGAAGCTTCAAACTGCTTCTCCACTAGAGACCAATGTTCGTTTTGTGGCGCATTCGTATCTTATTTTGAAGGGATATGTAAACGTTACCATATTGACCAGTGGTCGAGAGGAGACGAGAGGAGTGGAGCTGGTGGTTTTAGGTCTGGTTCACACCGCACGATTTAAGGATTGTCGGCCGATTTTCCAAACCTCTGTGACGTCAGAGCCGATAAATGCCCAACAGGTTCGATAGGTTCTTGTGTCCAGCCACACGGCAGGAGCAACACACCAAATGATCCGATTCCACTCACAAACATCTCGATTCCAGAAGAAAATCCAGTAAAACCCCCAACATAGCATTACGTTAATTTAGAATGATAAACACGACGACGATGCAGAAGCAGCAGCGATAGTTTGTGGTTCATTCGAAGCGATAAAAGTCAGAAAAAGAAAACGCGTTTGATAAAAGATGGCGGCGGCAGCCGCTCAGTTTGCTGCTATTTTTTGGAGGTGAGTTTTGTTTTTTTCGTAGTTAACATTTTTAACTGAATAAACATAACCACATATGGTAAACATATATAATAATGACCTTTACAAATAGTAATAAACATTTCCACATATCACCTCCGATGTCCACCGTAACTCTCAGTTGCCATGCCTACTTGGTTGGAATTCCCTCCCTGCTTACGTCACCGCGCTCTCTGATTGGCTGCCTGTCACATTCAACAGGCTGCGCATTTTCAAGACAAACTGGAAAATGAGATTTCAAGACAAATAAGCTCATATTGGTGAACATATGAAACACGATTTTCTTTATAATTCAATCTGTCTGTTATGTCATTTAACATCAAAATATATGATTGATTGGTTTCCTGATACAAAAACAGGATATCAATCATGGTGTTTTATGTCAAAAACGAAATGATTCCTTCAATAAAACATGGTCATTCCCAGTTCAGCTAAGTTATTTGCCGACATCCCATTTCTCTGATTGTTCACTACAGTCATCTTTCCTTAAATCTTTATAAGTTTATCTCTTACCATCATTTTTTTCTTTTCCGACTTACAAGCAAGGTGAACAGACCATGAAAATATTTTGTGAAGTCCCTTGATGTAAAAGTGTTTAAATGCAGCATGTAGGTACAGAAAGTATGAGCTTATATTCAAATGTTGCTCTGTCACCTCTTCTACTCATTTGCATTTGCAGTTCCTTAAAAGCAGAACGCTCAGTAAGCAGAAGTCAAAAGCAGTTGTAGAAACACAACTGTGCACAGTTGTGATGAAACCCTTAAAGCGACCTTAAAAGAAAGCTCAAGTCGTATTCAAAACAGATCATAAGAATTAACATCTTTCAACTTGCAACATCAATTTGTTGTATTAGAGATAACTTATTTTGAGTCGTCCCATAATTTGAATCAGAGATCAACCGTCGCACTGCCTATGTTCAGTTTCATGTTGACACCATTTAAATCTATCGCGCTTGCTTCAGTGACAACTCACATTTCCACATGCAGAATTAATTTGGAGTGATCTTTGATGCCAGGTACGCTCCAATTTTACAAGACGCCTGTTTTAACATAATTTTATTTTCTCTTTGTGTGTGATTCACGTTAGTCACGTACGGCACATTAATGTTGTAATAAAATTGATCCAGCATTGCCTTGTTATCAGTTTTATTGTGTCAGAATTGTTTTTATTCCTCTTTGCCTCATTAGTTCATGGAATATCAAACAACAGTTCAGATGAGACATTTAATTATATCTAATCTGTTACCTCAGGTCATTTTTATTTATCTCTCTCTCTCGTGTTTGAACTTATTAAAGTATATGTATATATTTTTTGTCAGTTTCCATGATGGAGCTTCATGTGAAATAAAACTGCAAGACTTAAATGAAGATAAAATATGCTAAAAGGTCTTGAAAGCACATTTTAGGACTCGGTGTTAAGCCGCAAAAGAAGTGTTTTGCAACTTCCTCTACACATCACTGGTTACAAAATTTTCTCTTCAGTTTAAGACATATACAATCCTTCTTTAGAGTAATATAAATAAATAAAATATTTAAAATATATAATAGCCTATATATGTGTAGATCTCTTGATGAATTTCAATATATATAATTTAATCTCTACCTGTGAAACAAAACTTACATTTTAAAAATATGCAAACTTGGAAGAATAAGCTATGTTATTTTTAAAACATATCTCACTAACATATGCCTTTAGCTTCTATAATTTGAAACAAAGCCTCATACCTCTTTCAACAGGACCCCAGTCTTGGCTGGATTTGACTTCTACGAACTGAGATGTGTGGGAGCTTCGCTGCGACTAATGTAATTTCCTATTTCGTTCTGTTAGAGCTTTGCCGGGAAACTGCAGTTAAAAATGGCCGCCAGGCGTGCCAACAAATAGGCAACTATGTCATAACACTATCTCTATTGCATGTAAATTAGGAGTCAGAATGTGTCCTGGACTTTTGTCACAAATGCTAAGCAGGAAACTCAGGTGCAGATATTTCCATAAAACTGTGCGCTCTCTGTTTAAATTCAAATGCTATGAGTTTTAGGTTAAGGATAAGCCAAACTCACCTGTTGACCTGCGAGGTGACATATCCATTGACTCTTCACTGTGTCTGCAGTGTTCTTGCATGAGGAAACACTGAACCCTCACCTGAAAATGGACAGATTGCATCCTTTAGTGTGTGAGCAAACACTTGAGGGATTGCTCAAAATCGTCCAATCACAGTGTGGGTATTGAAGGTGTGGAAGCTAAGGATCTTCCCCTCGAATGCCACGATTGTCTTCGTTTGGCCCCTCTCCATCATGATAAATCTATTACTGAATTCACAAAATTCACTAATTCACTAGTACATTAACTACATTTATACATTTTGCAAACAAGTTAAAGTTAAAAATGAATATTGGTGAAATCAAGTGACAGTTAACAGTGTCCGGAGAGACAGCGTCGCATCTTCCATTCGCACCAATTGACACTGATGCAACAAAGTGGCGGAGCCCGATGGAAAATCGGCGGTAAACAACTGATGCAACAAGCCTGTAAATCATATCTGATTAAATTCACTGTAACATGGTGTAATATGTTGCGGGGCCTTGCAAAGAGATCCATAAATTTGATAATAAATTCTTTTTTTTTTTTGCATTTCGTCCTGTTGCAATAGATCGACAAAAAGAAGAGCATGATGGTGAAGTAAAAGGAAACTGATATGTGTTTTCCATGTCCTGTTTCCTAAGTAAAATGTAAAACGTGTGGCGTGCATTCGTATTCAGCCACCACTGCTCTGACACCTATAAAATCTAATAGAGCCTGCTTTCTGTTTAAGTCAGCATGAAAGAGACACAGCTGTTTTGTGAAGACTTCAAAGATGTTGTTTTTAGAGAACATCACATACAAAACAGCATCATAAAACCCAAGAAACACCATCAGATCAGGGAGGTCAAATCAGGAAGAAGCAAGTTGCAAAAGGACAATCAAACCCACCAAGTTCTGGATGTCTACTCGATAATGGACAGGGAGATACGTAGTCAAAGAAGAGGTCAATGACCTCTGAACCTCTGGAGGAGATTCAGAGATTCTGAGCTCGGGTGGTAAAGCTCACTTTAGGTCGTCTACTACTAATCCTACTCTAATCCTGAGCAATTTTGCAAAAACAAGTAACATAAATTCCATTGTCTAACTGTGCAAAGCTAAGAGCAGCACAACGAAGGAGATGCAGCAGTAAATGCAGCAAATGGTGTTGAATCAGTCAGAGCCCAATTCAAATGCATGTCACACTATTCAGACTATTTGTAAAAATAAATGAGTGTTGCCATTCTCCCTGAAGAAGCAATAAAATGCATTGAAATGTGTGGCTGTGATTTCCAAGGGAACACATGTTTTAAAGCGCTCAACAAGAATCACCTCATAACCTCCCATAGCCTCTGGCCGTTTTAGTCCAAATTGTCCTAAATTTAAAAGACAACTGTGTATAGCAGTCACTCTCTAAAGTTCTTTAAGTGAAACATTAAACCCATTTATCTCTCTTTATTCTCCTACCAGTTGTGCTGCATTTATGGTGATTCACTTCTGAGGTGGTTTCAGGCTGTTTGAACTGTTTTATTGCTGGAGTTGGACTGTGATTTGTTTACCTTTGTGTGCCCCTCGTCTCAACTTGTTTGCAGAGGTGTTGCGTTTCCCATATGGCAGAAAATTTCCACTAGTTTGGTAAATTCTGCAGAGGTGGGAGAACACAAACCAGATGCTGCAGCACCACAACCGTGTTTTGTTATTTTAATCTACTATTGTAGAGACCTCAACTGCTTTATGAATTTATCACATTTTAAAATATTTTGCATTCTGTAAATTAAAATAATTTTATTTTGGCTTACAATTAAGGAGATATCCTTAAAACACAGTGGTAAAAAAGGAATGAAGTTAAGGTTATTAGTCAATTCTACCGTTTTTACACATATTTTCTTTGACACTTCTGTGCATTACTGCAAAAAAAATCAGCAAACTGCAGAAATTAAATTATGGATGCAGAAAGAAACACAACCAAAGTTGCTGCTTGGAAGCATTTTTATTCATTTCAATCACCACTTATGGAGTTGGGAAAGAAAAGGGGCTCCACATACCACAGGGTCACAGCAAAAACCCTAAACAAGTGAGAAACAGACCTGCGCAGACATCCCAGCAGTACCATTAAAAACTGTCTCGGCCGGACCACCACCCACCAATCAAATTCTTCTGTAAACTTGAGGATGGCTTCATGCTTTCAAACATCTACACTCCTCCATTAATGGGAAGAATCTGGGAAAAGGGAACTCGTACAAAGACAATGCAGGTTTTCCATGCTAACCTTTAATCTCTACATTTCAAAGTTAAATCTCTCATTGGAAAATATTTTTGAGCAAAAATGAAAAGGGGGGAGGGCGGGAAATCCACTGTAGCAACATGCAGATGGCAGATTTATTTATTTTTTAGCTTTTTGCTTCTAGTATAACGTCAGAATCTTGTTTCAACATATTTACCATCTATCAAACTTATTTTCATAGCTTTCTTTCACATGCAAACTTCCATATTTCTCCTCATCTTCTTGTGTTACACCTCTCAAGAGCTTGTAGGCTGACATTGAGTCATCTCCACACATGCGTCGCAGCACTGAAAGTTTAAGTTACCCTTTTCAAGAAAGCAAGTTTGGAACATCTGAGCTGCCCTTCAAACAGAGTGGCAATAAAATATTAATGAGCTCATGAGGCCCCAGAGGAGGAATTTTCCAGTTAATTAACTTGTGCTTGTTGTGAAGGACATATAATTTAAGCAAACCATGCAGATACTTTAAAGATTGTTACATCATGTGTTAACTCTTCAGACTGATTGAATAATTATGAGACTGATCGATTTCTTAATACGATCTGGTCTTGCTCAACTTCATGGCATACTCCTGAAATGTCTCACTTTGTATATTTTTCATATTTTCGTTATTGTTTATCAATAATTTCAGGAAAGTATTTGAAATTGTCATTTTCCTCTTTGCTCCTTTAAGAAGTTATTTAGAAGCCTCCCTGGTTCTAAATATATGGGAGGCATTCAATAAGTTTCTAAGATGTTCCTCTGAACTTGATGTGTGGAAAAAGTCTCAAAGTACAAAACAAGTCTGAATATG